CGATCAGAGCATATTTCATAAACAAATCTGACTGTCGAGTAGTGGAATATATATACATGTCGAACTGTTTTGGCGAGAAGATGTTTGCTAAATTATTTACATCAATATGAAACAACCGGTTTATCGTGAACAAAATACATCGGAACAAATAAGGATTGCAAACCCGAAATGCAATGGAAATTCATAATTTAGTTTTACTTGATTTTATTCTGGTTTTTCTCCGTAAAACTTTCCCGTGGTGCAGTGTGTCGGGTTCAAATCCCATTCAAGGCAACTATTATTATTTTTTTTAAGTTTCTTTGTTAAGGAAGTAGCCACTATATGCAAGGATAAAGTGTGGCTGTCATAAAAATGAACATAAATGATTTTTTGATGCAACTCTAGTCATGCAAAATTCCGTATGTATCAAACTCTGGTGCCCTGCAAGAAGAATTATAGTACATAAAAATAAACTTGTACAGGAAAATAATACTGATATACAGTGCGATTTAGATTGCAAAGATCAGAAAATACCACAGAGCTTGCAGCCCTTTGATTTTTTAAATGTATACGTTAGTGTGGATCGCTACTTGCTGTGTCCCAATTTCCATAACGAGGAATATAATTTGTGCATTGAATTGAATACGAAATATTCCAATATCAACTCACAAGTCATAATGGATTTAAAGAAATAATATGAATGAAACAAGAGAGGTTCAGGCGTATGTATTGAAACAGATTTGAATTTGAAAATTATCATGTACTTCTTAGTTTTGAATGCGTGAATAGTAGGTATTGTTCCAAATGCCAAAATCAAGATGGTAAACTTCCTTTAATTTTTGCACAAATATTAAGAACTGTTTCTAAAGCTATATCAATGCCCTATTGATAGCTGAACAATATGAGCGCCCTTTTCTATTAGTTCAAGCCTGACAGATATCTATTTCAATGAGCATATGCTTTTCTTTGGTATTGTTTGTTTATAAAATCAAAACTGTGTTTGTTCTCTTGCCAATTCTTAAGTTAGATACATATTAAACTTATCTTTGACTCATGAAAACATACTTGATGTTGTTGGTGTTGTTATATAAAACTTATTCAAAAATTTAACTTAGATCCTCAATATTTCTCAAACAAGATGGTAAACCCATTGTTAATTTTCGTTTTTTCTTGGTCATAATACGATACAGATTAATAAATTGTTTTGTGATTATTGACGCATCGTCACTTAGATATCTAATGCCTGAATTTAAATTAGTATAAAGATAATTTTGGCGTTTCTTAAAAACATGCTGCTTTAACCGTTTTTACGAGCATGATCATATAAAGACTTATTTAACCCAAAATTTTGTTTTCATTGTTCAACAGTATTTGGTTTTTTGTTTTTGTTTTTTGCTGTTTTCTTTTCGGTCTCCTGTGATAATGTTTTGTTTCTGTTACAATTTGTCAGTTATAATGTTAGTTTTGTAAAAGTATTCAAGTGTTTTGTACGTAAATCAAAACACCACTTTATTTTTATATTTGCTTCTTTTATAACAAATAAGTTCACATTCAGCGCCACTTTTATAAGGTAATAATCATCTGTCATGCTCTAAAAGCATAATTGAACATTTTAAATTTTAAAGTTATGTTGGCTCTTTCTTAAGATTGAAAATTTACTTGTTTCTGAGTCAAACTTTGTCTTTAACATTCAGTCAGGACAGAAATTAGTTGCAGTAGCGTAGTGTGACGTAATCAGTGTCCATGGTCTCATCTGCATGGTCTCCTGATCACAGCATACGATACAGATCACTAGTACCACAAACAAATCGACGGAAATGTAGCAATAAAATATGAAATACAGATTGTTTAATTTTTTTAACAATGTGAAGTTACCATACGGTTACTCTATATGGTCATTATTCAAGTTGTTTGACAATCATGATATTCATTTTATTTTTAGATAATGGTATTTACCATCTTGTCGGCAGTTTGTTTTTTACATCGGTAAAATAACAATAGGAATACTCGGTGATGAGTTTTAGGAATAACGTTATGGTCACTTGTGTCTCCCACTTCATTTTCTGTTATAATATAAGTATTTAGATATTTTGTCGCGTCTTGTCTATACATTCTATCCCCAGTTTCTGTCTATAGTTCTATCGAAAAAGTGTATATTTTATGTATTAACTGATGGGTTGTTGAACTCTTATGAATGTGCATGCAAGACGACATATTGAAATCTTATCAAATAATGACGTCACAGTGGAAAACGCCCTCTTACATGACAAAAAATATACTAAAAATAGGTATCATAAACTGCCAAAAGACAGCGTGAGTAGTTCCCGGTTATTCCGATACCATCCGACATTTGCCGATGTTAAACGATTCATTAAAGTCCTTATTCTCACATTTAATTGATTATCAACATTAAGTGATCACTGCCGTATGAACACATCAAACTATGGATGCATTTTATTTGATCGTGCTTTTCTTAAACTTGAATGTAAAACAGAATGAAAGGTTATATTTATTTGATTTGTTGAGAATGCGTCAAAACAGGGGAGTGTGAAATTACCTCTAAAATTATGAAAAAGTATCGTGTAACATGCACTTTGAGTTAGAAGTGAACTTAAACGGAATTTACATATATTTGTCTCATTTAAATTGATACACCTTATTAATATATTATTGGAATGGCTTTTAACTTATTCAATTTCTATATCATACAATATTCACGTTTAATTTATAATAAACTAGAATGTTTAGATAATGTATAAATATCTTGACATAATAAATCAATAAGATTTTGTGCTTTATTATAAACACTTTCTCCAAAGTGGATTATATCTGCTCTATTTTTGCTGATAAGAATGAAATTATGATGTGGAAGTAACTGTAATTCATCATGTATCTGTTATTCATTATTTTCAGGAATTTCGGATTGTTCCTCGAGTTTATGGTGCAACAGAACATATAATTTCTTTTCCCAGACCAATCAAAGCCAGATACGTAAAATTAAATGAATCGCTTGCAAATCCAACACTTGAACAACGACGCTTAGATTTTATAGTTTACGGTTGTAAATTGACAGGTAAGTATAAAGTTTAATGGATCACTTTCTTCTGACAAATTGAATAATTACTGCAAACATTTTGAATGAAGCTAAGATTTCAACATTGCGATGGTCATATCTTTACTTTTCTTGTTGCTATTTACTAAGTTACATTTTCATTTGGTTTCGGTATCTTTATGATAAATGTGTATTACAGAGAACTGGTCTGTTTTGTAAACAGGTATCATTGAGTTTACCAGCAACAGTATATCTGAAATGCTACCTCTAGATCAAGAATTGCGATCCGGAAACTCATCTTCCATTAGTAATACAAGTGTTGAGGAATGTAAACATCTTTGTAAATCAAAAAAAGGTTGTAGTGTTGCCAGTATCAATGAAGAGAAAATTTGTTATCACTACATGGGTAGTGAACTTGGGATATGGAAAAATACTAAGATTACAAACGGCAGTCAATGGTTTGCCAAGCTACAAAACAATGGTATGTCATTATTTCGTCATGAAATAACTTATTATTTTTTCACCTGTCCAATATAAGCGGTTGATATGTCTGTGGCAGTATACTCATGTGCTTGTATTGTATTTTCTTAAAAAGATTTTTTTTTTGTTATTTTTCGAACAAAGGCCTCATACAGAAAATGTTTGTACGCGTAAAAGCGATTCTCAATGTTATTTGTCTTTAAGTTTTAACACAAATATAAAAAATGATTGAGCTCAAACATTTTAATTAAGCATGTACTGTATAAATTGACTACCTATTAAAATATGAAAAAAGAAACAGTAAAATAATGATTCGGTCAGAAATGATATTTTAATGATTTCCAGGTCAAGTTCGCTTATAGGTCACTTGGGTTAAAAAATTAGTTCACACAGCCCGAAAATAAAATAAAACTTGTAAACACTTAAGAGGTTATTGTTTAATCCGAAATATCCTGGACATAGATCAGAAATGTTGTTTTGATGATTTTTATGTCAAGTTATATGGTTTACCTGGGGTCAAAGAAACTAGGTCATACAGCCCCAATATGGAAAATCTTGTTAATTCTCTACATGCTAAGAGGGGTGTTCAAATATGAATGCAACTAGGAAAATATCTCGCTTTAGACCACGTTTGCACGAACAATGTATATGTATCGCCTAGATGGTTGTGTAAGCTCTCAATTGATACAATACATGTGTACTTCAGTTCAGTCTAGCTTTGACAATTGCTCGATTAACGCTATCTACTCTAAAAGGGATGATTTAAAAAGGTCTCCTTTCATTGACCAAATACGGTCCTATATCAAGAACAGCTGTATTTTTCGTATATAGACGAAAGACATATTAAATGAAATATGTCGTGTTCATGGTAACAATGAACTTTCTTATTCATCTGTCACACGATGTGATGTAAGAAATTCAAAAGTTGTCTGGATTCAGTAAAATATGCAACCCATGCACACAGTCCTAAAAATGCTTTTCGCAAAAACATTTTAAAAAGGATTTGATTGCTACTGATGTAAAATTTACTACTAAGTATATCTCTAAATGCGTTGGTTTCCCTGTACGAGCCGCTAGTACAATTCTCCGGTATGATTTAAAATAAGAAGGATAAGTGCCAGATGGATACCTCCTTACAAAAGAACAAAAACTTGCTCGGGTAATAATCTCCAAGCAATTGTTGAAACAGTTCCCAAATACAACACCCGACCTTTCGCAATTATCATAACTGGCGATGAGACATGGGTTCACTTTTATGAGCCCAAGAAAAAGATACATAACAAAATATGGTAACCAAAAGAAGTCAAAGACCTTGCATAGCAAAACGCACAATGAGCGCCCAAAGGTCATGTGTATAATTTTCTTTACAAATCAAGATTTTGCTTTTCTAATTGCCGTACCAAAGGGTAAATCTGTAAATGCCAAGTTTTACTAAGGCAAGGTCCTTCATAAAATAAAAAAAAAAACGTCGACCAGCAAATAGTCTCCATTTTGCCAAGTAGTTGCATGACAATGCTTCGTCAAACAAAGCGGCCGCTGTACGAGAATATCCATTGTTTCATCATCTTTAAGTGACATTATATCCAAATTTGAAGTCAATCAGACATGAAAGATATGAAATGGCTAACTTATCAAGTTTTATCAGCAGTTGTCATAACGTTTAATGTAGAAATAAGACGCTCGTTAAAAAGTTGAAAGTTTGTGTAATTGTATTCCTAATATTGATAACCCACGCCGGAAGAAACTCACTGGTTTCAAGCATTGAATATTAAGATAGTATTTATATTCTACGTGGGCTGTATGATAAGTTCCTAGGCTCTGGCTATAATTTCTTTATTTTTAATAGGATCTTTCTAATAATTCATCGTTATGAAACTGCATACTTAAAAAATTAAATATGTCTGGTAAAGGTATTTACATAAATAACAATGATCAGTTAACATGTATATCTAACCGACAACATTTATTTCCTCTGGATTTTCCCAATTTTGAAAATAAAACGTTTTTCTGCAATCATATTTGAAAACTTCAAGAAGTAGCGTCATTCGGAACTCTCAGTGTTTAACATAATATTTTGTTAACGTTATCGTAAAATAACAGGATAGTGCAATGGCTTTGACATAAGTACTTTGACGAATAATTTGAACGCTGTATGCTGTGAAGTTTTTGTTACAGAAACAGTAAGTAGAAGTAGAGGAGTCATGGCATCAGACAATTATTTGAAAGTACCACCAAACATTAAACCTTGTACAAAACTTGACTAGGTTTAGGTCTCACACGTGTCATTTAACACTAGGTCAACGCGCCCGCTTAAGGGGTCAATTCAACAGTGTTTGAGATCATTGTTCTAGAATTTGAATCTCTAGTTCACTCTCTTTATGATCCAGCCCCGAGTGTGTCCACTACTAAAGCGTCAACTTAAAGGACAACGATTTTGATTAAAATGTGTTCCAGCTCATTATTGCTATATTTTTTAAATAAACGTTCTAGAAGTGGATCTCCAAGCAGAAAATGTATGTCCTTTTGGCTACACCGAAATGTATGCGCAGCTTAAATGATATGACATTATCTGGCGTGTTATAGGACGGCGTGCTGCGGGGTACGTTGATGTACTGTGTTTAAACTACATTAATACATAACATGTCTGATTGATTTATATTTTCTTTTTGTACTAAGTCATAAATGAACTTTTTTTGTTTGCACATAAATTAATTTGATACGGTACTACGACGTTACTACTTCCCATTAAACCAGTCTACTTACTTATCTTACAGCCTTCGTATGTTTAGATAACCCGACAAAAGCATGGCGGATGCGTTCCCCTGTAGGCACCCTCCCTCAGAGTTTTTTTCGTCCATCTTTTGTTATTTGGTATTAAATTCTCTATTCTGATTGCTTAGGACAGGCAATATACGGATATAAATGGCCAAATCAATTCACTTGTATATATGTCACCGAACGGCAACATGATTAATATAAACATGATTTTCTGATATATTAAATCGCATTCGTTGAACATGTAAAGTTGCATTTCTACTCGGCTCAAACAATACAAAAGATGAGAAGATTTTTTTCTTTGGAAATGTGTCAAGGATATATAGCTTACGCAATAAGGGTGCGTTAACTGGAGATTCTTGGGATAAACAATGCTTGCACTTGAAATAGCGCACTACAAGTTTACGTTAGAGTAGAAAAAGAAAATTGAAATAAACTTTAGTAATTTAAGGAGGACTTTGAATAAAAACAAATTTCTGAATTTGCATTGCTTATTTTCAACGGTTAAATTACTTTCCATATCAATATAACAACAACGTTACTCGGGGCATAACAAGGTTGTATAAGGATTATCATCACGATAGGAAAATGATTATAAACTGAAAATTATTCGAAAAAGAAAATATATAAAATTACTCAGCAATATTAAGGTGAATTGATGACACCATTTTAACATGTGTGTTTCACGCAAAATAGCATTTCAATGCAGGTCTATTTGTGGAAATAATACCAGGATTTTGATTTTGTTTCCGTATTTTTTTTTATCATTTTAACAAGTGAATTATCTTTTTGCTATCAACATGTGTTCTTGTTAACACAGTATCTATGGTATTATTTCCGAGGGCTTACCAGAGAGAATCGTTTTTTGGAAACGTACAGTACATAGATGATGTCTCTATAATAACATCACCCAGTTACCCTCTAACGGCAATTTTAGACAATGATATACTATGGATTATTAATTTTGCACCAGGACAGTTTGCCAAATTTGTTTTCACAAATGTTTCACTATCTGAGGTATGCATTTGATTTTTTATCACTAACACATTAGGTTCTAAAACCATTCCAATCTAAGTTAGTAAATTCATTATTTTATCATTTGTAATATTTACGTTTTGAGTTAATAATGGTCTTTAAAATACCTTGTAATTGAGGCTTCTTAACTAATTTTGAGCTTGTATCACTTTAAAGTCAATATCGTTTTGTAAGTAATCATTTGAATACTTTAAGCTAGACCATGGGTAATGCATTACCTCCACTATGAAGAGTATTCAAAAAGACTAAAATCACTTGTCAACTACAATGAAATTGAGGGGCATGGGTTCAAAACCCAGAAGGGGTAACTTTTTTTTCTTTCTTTTTTTTCTTTTTCACATTTTTTATGTATCTCTCAGATCCCTTGTGGAAGAAAAAAGTGTTTCATTTGAATTATATAATTATTATAGGTATTTATTTGCTGAATAATGCCAAATTTTATAGCAAATATGATACCAGATATTTTCAAAGTTTAATAAAATAAAAACTACACGGTAAAAGTATTTTATATTTCGCATGATCAACCAATATACATTTAAAAAAATTTAGGCAAATTTTGAAAACAGTCCCTCATTTTGGTAAATTTTAGGGATATTTTGAATAAGGCTTTTATAAAGGGAAATGGTCAAATAAGTGTTTAAAGCGGATGGGGTAGGGCAACATTTTTATACATATGAAAAACATTTTGTTTAGAAACAATCATTTTGCTTGTGTAATTTGTTACCTGAATGTCATTATTTGTTTCTTTACAAAGAGCAATAGGAAAACATTTTTCATAATGATGATATTGTAGATTATTTAAGTTTCCTCATTTCTGAAAAATGCCCTTCTAATAGCAAAGTTTTAGTTCAGAAATATATCCATAACTCATAAACCACACGGTAAATTTCATTCAAATTTTGCATACAGGTGACATTTAAGGTATATAACTGTCATATGTTGTCAATTTTACAGTTCCTTATAGTGCCCATTACCCATGGTCTACCTTAAATGCAACTAATCTGTTATTGAATATGGGGAAAATGTTAAATTACAATTTGTGTCATGTAACTGACTTGACGTTTTTGGAATTTTAAAAGTTCTCAAATCCTACTGTAAATGAAAATTCGATTTGTTAGTTAACCTTACATGATTTTCATTACAACTTAATTGCGTGATGTAAGTATATTTTCTTTATGCTAATTTACTGGTAAGGTAATCGAGTTATTTTGTTTAAAAATTGATACGTTATATATATTTTTTTACGCAGTGTGAACTAATTGTCAAAACATCGAAATATGGTAACAAAGGATTTAGCATTGACACGCGGTACAACGATAATGTATTTGTATTAGAAACAGATGAAAACCTGTTGTTCTTATCAGCAATGCCAAAGACAACGACATTGACACCAAAGATAAAATTCCGGGCAATTGTAACTGCTGAGGGTAAATTAAAAATTTTCTTTTTCGAAATAACTTGCAGTATTATATTAACGATTTTTGTTCTAATTCAAAACATAGTCCATTGAGAGCTTCCTTCCAAGTTGATATTTGTTTTAATAATTTAGTTTAATTTACAACTCCGGCAACATGACAAAGTTAAATTCGTTAAGTCATTAATCAAATTTTCCTTTGTATCTGTCCTGTTTGCGTTTGTATGAATGGATTTAATCAGTTTTACGCTTTTGTATTTATCTAATGCTGTCCGTTCAGTTTTAGAATATATTTCTGGTACTTTGGAACGAAAAGGACAGTTACCACGTTTTTGATTCTTCTTTTTTTACAATTGATTTGTTTTTGTCATAAATGTTGTATTAATGACCAGCCATAATAATTCATTGTACATATTGTTTGTATATTTTTAAAGTGCCACCTAAGGATAATTACTGTGAAATTTGAGAAAAATGTTAAATGCGGCTACAACTGGGATGTAGTTTAAAGACATAGTAAATCACAACGTAAGAATGACAATGAACATCTTACTTTCAGAATACACTAAACTTTAGTCTTTTTGTGCTTAGGTTATCTAAAAGTGAGAGTGTTTCCCTAGATGTATTACAAGTTAAAATACATATGATAATATTGCCTATATACTTGTCTGTCATAAAAATGTGCTCAAATGACGGACAGACACGGCTTTTTGTCATTATTGCCTAGTGCATTGGTTCATCACTATGAATATTTTGTTCATAAATGCTTTACAAGTGAGATAGCCACACTATAATGACATATAACATAACACTACAATGAGCTGTCATTCAGGCAAATGGAAATATGATAAAGTGACCAGGCTTTGTTTTTCTAATTTGATTTGGCCTGAAGACAATTTAGCAGAAAATTTGTTTGATAACACAAAGTGTAATGTTTATGTGTCTGAAGAGTTCGTACCATAGTTTGACATAAATAATAATACATTTTTAAGGAGATGAATAACAATCTGTAAGATATTCCTGAAAATTCTTTTTCAAATCCAGTGTTCTTATATGAAAAAATCATACATGACCAAAGTTCAATTAAACACTTAAATCACGTTGCGGCTTGAAGAGATGTGAATTTAACGAGTTGTGAGGATTAATCTAAACTGCAATTTTTAAGATAAGATAAGATAAGTAAATTCTATTATAGTGCCATTGTGTTATGTACATACATAATGAGGATATATATTTATTTTTACAACACCCGGCAACGTTGGACCTGCTAGTCATTAAATGATTTAAACACTTCCAAAAAAACATCATTTACATATTATTTAATTTTACATAAATTCACATAGTTATGAGTTTAATATGCTCTACGTCATACTAACAACATCTGCATAAGTGAAATAGGAGGTATACGAGCTAACATATGTTATCTAGTCACTTTAGGTATCAAATCACATGTATATATATATAGGTTTGTGAAAAATATTTGCATCTGCAAAATACCTTTCAAAAACACTGGATCCAAAGAAGGATACAAGAACGTGGAAAAAAGCAATAAATTTGGAGAAAATAAAGGTTCATACAGTGCTAAAGTATAAACACCCAAGTACTTTCGGCGTATTATGCATTCATCAGGGGTGTATTACATGTATAATGTGCACACAATCGAGCACAAAATCTCAATTCGTGTGTACTGTATAGTATCAAAAATTGAACTGAAACACAGTCGCTAGAAAGGTGATAAAATTACATCGATTATGAATAGACCGTTATTGAATGGTCATTGTGTAGTACTTTACAAAAGAGAATATAGCCTGCGGTCAATATGGCATAAACTCGGTTAAATATATCGTTTAAATGAAAAAAATATATATAAACTAAAAAAATAAAACTTCACATATAAGGGCGTTTTGTGTTTTTATTACTATAGGTATGATGTAACAGTATGGTGTTATATGAAGTGGAAATTTACGATAAGGTGAAAGTATGATGTTATATGAAGTGGAAATTTACGATAAGGTGAAAGTAAAAACGAAGCTCTCAGACAAGATATATATATATATATATATATATATATATATATATATATATATATATATATATATATATATATATATATAAAGATAAAAACAACAGATATGCCAACATTACCCACAGGACCTTGGTTTTGCGATTTGAATGATTGCTGTCAGAATATAATGTATATATTCGTATATATATATATATAGTGTAAAAACTATAAAATTGCTCTTCGTAATGCCGAAAGTACTTGGGTATTTATACTTTAGCACTGTATGAACGTTTATTTTCTCCAAATTTATTGTTATTTTTTCCACGTTCTTGTATCCTTCTTGGTATCCAGTGTTTTTGAAAGGTATTTTGTAGATGCAAATATTTTTCACAAACCTATAGATATATATATATATATATAGTATAAAACTTTTAAATTGCTCTCCGTAATGCCGAGCTGGCAGAGCAATCTAAAGGGGCATCATTGCACTGCTGGAATGCTAAGCTGGCTAAGCAATCTAGCGGGGCTTTCTAATATATATTATAAAAACTTTAAAAATGCTATCATGTTATGCCGAGCTGGAAGAGCTATCTTAAAGGGCTTTCCAAAATTTAGTGTATTAATTCTCTGCTGGTATGCTCAGCTGGTTAAGCAATCTAGCGGGGTATTCTTATGTATAGTGTAAAACCTATAAAATTGCCCTCCGTAATGATGAGCTGGCAGAGTATTCTAACGTGGCATGACAAAATAAAGTGTATCAATGATCTGCTGGAATGCTCAGCCGGCTAAGCAATCTAGCCGGGCATTCTTATATATAGTGTAATAACTATAAAATTGCTCTTCTGTAATGCCGAGCTGGCAGAGCAATCGAGCGGGGCATTCCAAAATATAGTGTTAAAATGTTCTGCTGGTATGCTCAGCTGGCTAAGCAATCTAGCTGGGCACCCCAAATATAGTTTAAGAACGCTTTGCTGGTTTGCTCAGCTGGCTAAGCAATCTAGTGGGGCATTCCAAAATATTGTGCGAAAAATGCTCTATTGGTATGCTCAGCTATTAATAACCAGCTGAGCATACAAGCAGAGCATTGATACACTTTATTTTGTAAAGCCCTGTTAGATTGCTCTGCCAGCTCGGTAAACACGAGAGCAATTTTATAGTTTTTACACTATATTTTAGAATATTCCGCTAGATTGCTTAGCCAGCTGAACATTCCAGCAGTGCATCGATACACTATATTTTGTAATGCCCCGTTAGATTGCTCTGCCAGCTTGGCATTACGGAAGAGCCATTTTATAGTTTTTACACTATGTATAAGAATGCTCCGCTAGATTGTTTAGCCAGCATACCAGCAGAGTATTTTTACACTATATATAAAAATGCCTAGCTCGATTGCTTAGCCAGCTGAACATACCAGCAGAACAGTTATACACTGAATATAAGAATGCCCACCTAAATTGCTTAGCCAGCAGAACATACCAGCAGAGCATTTTACACTATATTTTAGAATGCACCGCTAGATTGCTTAGCCAGCTGAACATACTAGCAGAGTATTTAACATTATATTTTGGATGCCCCACTAGATTTCTTAGCCAGCTGAGCATACCTGCAGAGCATTTTACACTATATTTTGGAATGCCCCTCTAGATTGCTTAGCCAGCTAGCATTCTAGCAGTGCAATGATACACTTTCTCTCTTAATGCCCCGTTAGTTTGCTCTGCAAGCTCGGCATTACGGAGAGAAATTTTATAGTTTTTACACTATATATAAAAATGCCCAGCAGTGCATCGATACACTTTTTTTTTGTATTGCCCCGTTAGATTGCTCTGATAGCTCGGCATTACGGAGAGCAATTTTACACTATATATAAGAATGCCCCGCTAGATTGCTAAGCCAGCTGAGCATACCAGCAGTGCATTTTTACACTATATATAAAAATGCCCAGCTCGATTGTTTAGCCAGCTTAGCATACTAGCAGAGCATTTTTAACTATACCTGTATATAAAAATGCCCAGCTAGATTGCTTAGCCAGCTGAGCAGAGCATTTTTACATTATATTTTAGAATGGTCCGCTAGATTGCTTAGCAAGCTGGGCCTACTAGCAGAGCATTTTTACACTATACTTGGGATGCCCCGCTAGATTGCTTAGCCAACTGAGCAATCAAGCAGAGCATTGATACACTATATTTTTGGAATACCCCGCTCCATTGCCTTTTAACTTGTTCTTGTGAGTTCGAAACTAATTGTGGAGGTTACTCTTTTATTTGCATTTTAGTTATACAAATTTTAAATTTTCCAAAGAAACCTCTCCTGGACGCTGTATTAATGCCGAATCACCTGTATTTAAGAAAAAGAAAATTAATCACAATTTTTGAAAACGTATCTTGCTATCGGTAGAGATCTATCCGCTAATTGCATGTCTACCTTTATTACATCAATTTCCGATAATTCCGTTCTTGCTTAGCTCTTCTTTAACGAGCAAATTTTATTGTATTCATTTTCTTAATAAGAAGTTTTAATCGGTATTTGAAATAAAGTATAATTTCTCTCTAAAATGAAAATTTGATTTTAAAATTATATTAAAAAAGTTAAGCTACGATATTTTTGCAAGTATGGTATGCGTTTCGTTCAGTCATTTAATCCGTGGAACTTGTCGTATTGCGTTACTTTATCGTCGATGAGAACAGAAGGAATATATGTTCTTAAAATAACTTATATATTTGAAATACACTATCACTCTTTTCCATAATAAACTTTGAATATTCGATATCGAGTTATGAATGATAAAAACTACAAATAATATTGTCAATTAGGTGTCCGTTTTGAAAAGGCATTTTACGCTTGGCACCGTTAAACTTGATACAGGTATAAGCGAGGTATGAATTGATTCAATGGCATTGTACAATCTTTTCAAAGATTTAGGTCAGATTATCGCATTGATTTTTTTCATAGACTTAAGACATTCCTTAAATTTGAGCATTTATACTATAATGTGATTGTTCTATGATAATGATGAATGCCTGACACATAAACATTTTATATTCTTTAGAAAATGACTTTAAAGGGGATTACCCCCTGTTTATATTGTAATTTTCTCTGCTCTTTCCACCACTGACATATTTTTATATTTTTATTATTTTTAAATGTAAATATCAAGGGAAAATGGATCCTTGAGAGCAAGGAAATAATTCATTTCAACAAAAAAAAAATAGTTATTCTTTTTCTAATTAATTCAAATATTTTTAAACTCAAAACTTCATACCAAAGGGTTATAAAAAATGCTTATTTGTGCAGCATTAGACAATAGTTCACAAATCTGGTTGAACAAAAATCACACAGGTGTATCCGACAGAGGCCGAATTTTATATACGCTGAATTTTATTTACTGTGAATTTGAAAACCACCAGAGACTTTTGATTCTTTCTTGTGGAAAACCTATCAAGCTAGCTCCAAAAAGTCGACGGGTCTCTGCCATTGCAACATTTGAGGTACTTGCCTCCTGTTGAGAATACAGAGTGCAAAATCAAAACCCAAAAAGGAGTCTAGTAGAACTACAGTTTACTAAGAGCGTATAGCCAAAATGAATTTTGTGAATCGAGTTCAAAGACATCTATATCTTTGCCAACAAATATAAGGATAATATTCAATATATAGGAGAGTAAAAGAAATTATATCTTATATTATGATGAATTAAGTAAGATGTTCATGTTTATCTGAAAAGTAGCTTCTGCAATACAAACATTCAAAACTCCGTCGTATCATATCGTACAAATCATTATTTCCTTGGAAAAAAACATATCTCTGTTTAATGAAGTTTTGTGAATTATGCAAAATTATATTTTTTAAAATTCATGGTAAACTCTGAAACGAGTATACAGTAGAATTGAGGTAAAAAACGATGGAATTAAGCAAAATGAACTGCGTCGTACCATCAAAATTCATTAAATTTATTGCCGGCTTCAAGTTGCAAGTTCGCAATAACTTTTGTTTTATAGAAATATTTGTGCAAGCAGTCTACACCGAATGAAGCGGAAAACAGTGGAGAGTGTTAATACATATATCTTGATTTCAATCATTTCCAACAAAAAGCGGAATAAACAAAAACATTCTTTTTTTGTTCTAAGATTGCGGCGTTTGTTTAGGATACGACGTAGTTCTGAATCCCAAACTTGAAAAACTTTACAGTTTAAGCTACCTACTTAGGTACACAATGATCTGTTCATTTGTTTCCTGGTCGAAACCTATTTATCAGTATAAATATATTCATTAAATTAAGAATGTAATGGAATATGACGTTATATATTAAACCATACAAACTAAACAAAAATTTAGCTTTTTATTTATTTTCTTCCAGACACTCCAGCCTGTTTTTCACTACATTTAAATGGACTATCCAATATTAGACAAGAACTGTGCAATAAACCAAGTATGTTTCTTGTATCCCTTTCTTATTTGAATCAACCATTCAAGTGGGAAGAGTTCGAAATTCAAGCCGGAAAACATCAAAGCATTGTCATCACCTTCATTGATGTCCGCATAGCGTGTTTTAGATATATAGGCCTAGGTAAGTTAATTCTAATATACAAATCTATGTTGTTGTTATTTTTTTATTTCTTTTTGTAAATGAAAATTGATGTGGTTCTTATGTAAAGCAAATGCATATTGGTTACACAGTAACTGTTTATGTTCAATTTGTCTTTTTACTTTACTTAACACAACAATACTTTCATGTTTGAATATGTTTAATTATTTTGTGTAAGCTCTGCAAATGATGGCTATTTACCAAAAGATTTTATTGGTATCTACTCTCGCTTTCGTTCTATGTTAAAAGATCGTTTGAATATTAATCCTTCTATTATATCTATTTCTGGAGACAAGTGGTAGCCTAATAAGGATATACTTTGGTCCATATTTTAAATAGTATTATCTGTAGTAAAGCCCCTAATAGCAGTCAAACATTTTTTGCGGTAACGAGTTCACGTTTGGTATCAATAAAGGGCAAAACATTTCTTTGATAATCACTTAACGTTATTTGTCCTTCTGACCTGATACAATTTTACTCCGAACAGTATAGGTCATGTGAATTATATATAAATCTGACGAAGTAGTTGTTAGTTTAACACAAAGGCTTCTTGCAGGTTTGTAACTATTAGATTTATTCTGATAAGCTTTCTCGCTCTTTGCGCTTTTTCAATATTTTCTGCGTAAGGATAGACGAGAAACAAATGGCTATTTACGGAGATTCACTGACTTTCTTATATAATAATTAAACTTCGATAAGAATTATTTCATGATTGGTCAATTGCAACTTCACTTCTTTGTGTCTGAGCCCAACAACGGGCTACATTACCAATAAAAGTTTATTGTAATGAAACTGTTTTTATGATTAACGATGGAATAGTCATAATTATGCAAGCCATTCGCCTTTTTGGAGGCTTTTCATCTGTACCATTTTTTTTAATTTCTATTCAACATGGTTTTTACAACCATTCTCTTCTATCAGAGTTAAGAATTAAGTATTTGACGAATTAATATTTAACATTCTTTACCTAAAGGTAAGGTTTCGAAACATACACAGGGCGTGAATTCATCATACAAGAAAATTCAAGCATGATATTAAGCTTATCAAAGCAAATTCAGTACTTTTTGAGTAATCACAATATATTGGTATTTAAGCTATATTTTAAGTATTTTTGTTGAAATGACAATCATATTTTTCACTTTAGGAAAAAAAATCTACTTCCTTATAACTATATTTCCATATATAAGTTTATTAAAAAATATTTTGAGTACTTTTTGAGTTCACACGGGATTTAGACGGACGTACAGATGGACGAACGGAAGACTTATAAGTCTTTTTATCAAATTTGACCAGGAATATTTCCCTTTTCTAGTAACTGTCTCTGCTTTTCTATAGAACAACTAAGAACTTAATCACTGTGACCTATATTAATTTTTTCATTCCTATATTCTGAACATAATATATATCTGAGGTAGTGTCTTAACCGAATACAATTCTGGATAGTAAAGCCCCCTGCCCAACTCCCATGCACATGCCAGAAATTATAGTATGTTCATGTATTATTTCAGTTCCACTTCTCTATTCCATTAAACAAGTATCTGAAAAGAAAACACATATATAATATGGCCGCCGCCACGAGAAAAGGGGCACTCTGGCAATTTTTGACGATTTTTATTTTTTATTATAATCTTGTAGAAATTTTATTTGTCTGTGTAAATCTTTTTATTTTATGTCGATATTCGAATTTTTAAGTAAGATACAGCGATTAAACTAAACACACCTTAACTAAAAATTTGCGACATCATCATCAAATTTGTATGACTGAAATACTGTTGGAAAAAGGCGTAAAATGAAACAAACAAACAAACAAACAGCGTGACGTCAAACGTAATTCCAACGAGTCTTAGTAATAAATAGTGACAAAGGGCTTCAGATAAAGAAAAAAATGTGTGTTTTAAACAAACACTATTTTATTGTTTGTTATAATGCACGCTGAAACAAAACAATCAACTGTTTCTTTTTCAGTTCAGATTAACTTAATTTTAATATCACAACGTTCATTCCTCAGCAAGTCGGGGACAAGTCTCATCTTGGTGCGCAGGACGCACGTATTTCCTAACGTGCCGGTAAAGGTATTCTCGTCGTTGACGACTTAAACCAGCTGGCTGGATAGAATCGGGAAATGATCCTTCTGGCAGAACAATGTTTCTCCTCATCAATGGAACGCGGATTTCGTCACTATTTGACCTTTCTTTGACAAATATCGCAGTTTTGTCTCCGGCTGTAAATCTGAAGCTGTGGTACTTTTGAATTCCTTTCAGCTGCAGAAAATATCTCGTCAGATACGATTTCCAGTCATACCTATTATAAAAAATAAACGACTTAAATGATTTATTAAGAAATAAAATATGTAGCGCGACTCAGCACTACAATAATCATTTAGCTTAATACGTCCAGCCTGATCATTAAGCCTACTCAAATTGAAGATTATATGCGACATTGTAAAAAGTAAAACCAAATAAGAAATTCAACGTTTAAATATCAGTATTTAATGCAAAGCTGTGCTCTATTTTATCTTTTCAATATTTTACCAAATTTCTATTACTTTAAACGCATACTTTAATATCGTGAATAGCATGAATCATCATTACGTCAGTAAATCTTATCGATGTATTATATGGCCTTAATTAAAGTGCGTAACTTACAAATACACCGATTCTCATATTAGGAGACAGATTTAAGAATAGAGTTAATAAAATTTTTGTCAATATAAAAAGGACAATTTACCAAGTCCATGATTGATCGCCATTTGCATTTCGGTACAGGACAGCGAAATTGTCTTTCGCCGATTTCTCAACGATGTCCGCAAACTGGCTCAAACTCTCACAATCCGATCTTTTAAATAACTTCTTAATCCGCCCGAACCCTCCATCAACAAGACATCTAAAATAAATGTACAGTATATAATTTTATATTTTCTCCGAATGATAAAATAAGCAAAAATTTTACTTTTTTTATAAAATGCACCAAGTTAGCCAGTTTCAAGCAAAAATCAATTTCTTGCTTGAAAATTCATGTACGTGGCATAGGATCGTACACTTCATTACATATGCAAATACTTTACTTTTGATATAATCATTATCCTCTTCAATACGAAAAATAATAGTTTTAAATTTGTATCTCAATACTTGAGAAAATGTATTTTAACTAAATTTCGACTCTGTTTTTCATGTGCATCAATTAATGTGTATTCATACTTGTCCTTTATTCGAAGGAATTGAATTGTTCATAATTTGATAAAACTAATCCTTTATGAGCGTGAATAAATGTTTTTAATAAGATTTCATCTCATGAATTTTTCTGCAATGGAATGAAGGGACGCTTTACCATTAATTTAATTAAGTAAAAAAACATGAAACTTACTTTGTATGTCCAGGGATAGCCATAAGTAATGTTATATTTTCATGCAATCCAATATTTATTCTCCAACTCAGGTATGCCAGCGTGAATCTATTTTTGTTTTGAGCTGTAAATAGAAATATAAGATTTTTTTAAGATCAGGTTTTTAAATCAAGTCTTTGTTACACTGATTTAGAAAGAGGAATATTCGCGGTGTTATAAATGATACAATGAGCTCATACGGTATAAAACGATACTTTACTCAATAACATACCTCCACAATTATCAGCATGTAGATATAGACCTTTTTCTCCAAATCCATAGTTAGAGAGACTGTGGTGAAGCATACTAATCACTGAGTTTGGACCGTGAGTTCCGCCACCATCTAAACCTGTGCAGTATATATGAACATATTGTTTTAACAGGTAAGATAGAAATTGCGTACAAAATAATTGTTAAAAGAAATACATACAAAATACTGTATAATGAATTTATAATGCATGAAGTAATGCAAATACCTATTGACTGATCCTCGTCTATCAAGTAGTTAAACTGTTATCCTGTAGAATCTACCCGTTTTCCGAACATGTTTATTTTTCTACCGGTCACAAAATATATTGGACCCATTTGCCGGCTATGATGTGGTATTGTAACGCACTGGCTGTAGTCAAACGTAAAGTTCACCTAAAACAACGAAAATTTGTAGTGCTATTTGTTTTACATAATGTACTCGTATGATGTATTTTCAGTCATCATTTTACAAGTTTAAATATACAGAATCGTCATGTGTTGCTGAAAAATAAAGTCATGGTTCAAATTTCAATGAAAAAAAATGAAATTCGTACATGAAAAAAATAATGATTAAACTAATCCTGGATTAGATGAATGTGCTATCAAACATAACGATTTTATTTATCAAATTTAATTTTACAAATGTACCAGCATTTATTTCCTTCTTTATTCTCTTTCATCACTTCATCTTTCATTCATACTGTAGCAATTTGATAGTTCATTTGTGGTATTTGATTATATTTTATCAAGACATAAGCTACAAATAAAGTATACATACAATAGATTAGTGATTTATTTTAAAAAGTAAGATTCATAAGAAGCGATCGATTGTAACTATTATAGCAACGTACTTTGTTTAAATCTGCGGATACTGGAGTTACTGGTCTGTCATGTCGTCTATGAGTTGACATTTCTTCTCTTGCCTGGACAACTGCTGTCTGATATACTTCTCGTTCAGCCTTTGCATCCTGTAAATATAGTGCATAAACATTAATCAAATTTTGTGACGTATGTTTTATATTTTTTTCTTTCGACATCAAGAAACATCAAATATAAAAGCAACGGATGTTGTCATTTATTACGAAGTTCATCGTTTAGCAACTTAAAAAAATAAATCAATTAATTTACCTGCACGTGTTCACGGAGATGATTTGCTGCATCTAATTTTGCGTCCTCTGTCACAGCATCTACAACCTTGTGACGTAAAAGTTCACACTTATGACAAACATCATCTTTTGGAGTCATTATTCTTATGTGCGGCACAACATTACTCCATACGTTCTTAAACGATGACAATCCAATCTTTCTAACCTAAGACTCTATACAGGCTTGAGAATATAATGTGTGCAGACTACATTTTGTGAGATTAGATTGCAGCAATATAGGAGCTTCTCCGTCATGTCCTCTCGGAGCTGCAGGCATGGGTAAACCATGTATGTCGGCATACCATATCAACCAGTCAACACAAAACCTTATCTCATTGTATCCAAGAGCATGATGCGATCTTCGTCCGGTGTTGCCATGGGTACGTGGTACTGCCCCATTCATACTAAAATGGTCAACGATGTTCCTCAACGATTTCTTTCCTATATCGTTTATATATAAAAAACACGTCCTTGCACACCTTTTTTCCCTGAAACACGTACCTAAAGCTTGTCCTTTTTCTACGTTTACCTTTCAAAGTTTCATCAGCACTTACTTGTTGAAGGCTTCCCATAATGAACATTTTACGGAATGCCGTTAGGGCCATCGCCTATGTATGTGTTGATCTAAAACGCGAGAGTCGATAATACGATGGTGAAAACGCGAAATCACGAAACTATTGTGGTGAAAACGCGAAAGCACGATGATGAAAACGCGATAGTACGATGATGAAATTGCGACAGTACGATACTACGATGATGAAAACGCGATAAACTATCGTGTTTTCACCATCGTACTGTCGCGTTTTCACTATCGTAGTTTCGTGATTTTAAAATAAAAAAAATATAAGCAATAAAAAAAAATACTTCCCGGTCGAGGACTGAACTCTGACCGCGAGCATGCTACGCAAGGAGCTTAACCCCACGGCCACCACATCAACATCCAAAACAGTGTTTAAATTTTCTAGTGTATCTTGAACTCACCCAAAAAAATCGATAACAAGGGAGACTACCTAGTTGCTAGCAGTATGACAACAAACAACTGTCAATAACATAATTTTCAAAGATCGATCAATAAAGGCTTCTAGGAGCATAAGAAATAACTGAAGTTTATATCCGTACAAATCAATTGATTTGTTTGTTTTAAATACATTGATTTTTGTTTTAAATACAATCTTTTATGATGTTAAAACAAATTTTCTGCGCACGGCAGACGAGTGGTTTAAAAGCAAGTTTTCTTCATAATATAAATTTATTTGTAACATTAACTGCATGTAATATATATATTACCTCAAATTCATCCATTTCTGATGGTAAAATACCCTCTAGGTATAAAAATCATGACTTAAATCACCATTTAGCAACCTGTTGTAATGTTTACGGAAATAACGAAGCGGTCGTACTATTCCCGGACTTTTTCACGGTGCGTCAAAATTGCCCGAGTGCCCCTTTTCTCATGGCGGCGGTCATATTATACATGTTATGTTTTGTGTCGCTTAGACAATAAAAAATATACGGGTGACCTTCCTTATTGTGAGTAAATGTCAAATGGTTCTCTAGTTCTGGACCAGGAATCTTAATGTCGAACATTTTCGCTAAAAAAGAGGGCCTTTATACAATTAGGGATATAATTGTGTCGACGCCTAAAACAATGGGGGTCTTTTACATTATAAATTGATAACTCTATGAATATTGAGACTTTGGGTCAGAGGGTCTCTTTGTATTAAGCATAAATGTTTTTTACATTCAAGGTGCTCACCTGGCTTTCACATGTGTTCGCTTAAACAAAAAGAGCCTGTTTCTTAATGATGGTGATCATCCTATTCATAGCCTCACTCATAATTGTGTGAATTTTGTTACTATAGTAAACAGAATAATTGTTAGAATTTTGCTTGCTTGGGATTTATTTTATTTATACAAAAGGAACTCGTTGGTTTTGGTGCACCATTAAGCGATTCAACCCGCCGTCTAAGTTGTTCCTTAGTTGTTTCATTTACACGAAAGGATTGGTCCAAACGTTTTTACAACATTATCGGGGGTCCTTCCCTGTAAACGTTTAACATCAGCTTCATAAGGTAAAGATAGTTTTATGTTAAAAGGGCTGTCTTTAAGTGTTGATGCAATAGAATTGTAGCCACAGTTTATCCATGTTTGAAAGTAAGAAAGGAATAAATGGGTTCAATGTCCTTGAGTCTTTGCATCTCTTAGCTCCAGCAGGTGAGGTGGTTTTGACCCCGGGCCTGGTGTTTCTGTAAGTTTGTAACTCCCGACGTTTGCCTAAATTAGATTTTCTGTTCCGGCGCGATATGACCTAAATTGGTTCGCTGTTAAACCAAACAAAACAAAATAATCTAAAACGATTTTGTATTGCATTTAAACAGGATTAACGGAATTAAAATCATATTTCTGGATAGAAGACCGAGGTGAGAACGTCTACATTTGCTCTACGTATCAACCGCCACAGACATACAAATCAAAAGGTTCAAAGATTCATTTGTATTACAAACCTGATCCGAACATATTTCATAACGGCAAAAGAGGAGAGAACATTGAAGGATTTCGGTTACAATTTAAGATATCAGAGCATTCTTTGGAAAAGTATACTACTGAAGTGAAAGGAATAGATTCAGATTTAGAAGGTACATTTTTCAATATATAGCAAATATAAAGAAACAAACATTGTTTCATCTGTAAACGAATTATTTTATTAATGAACATTTATTATGTGATATATGTGCATGCTTTTTCGTTGAGCTGAATTGACTATATAATGTATTCAAAAGACTATTATATTTGTCATTTACAATAATTTTTTATGAAAATGTTTAGGATAAAATATAACAACTGCCTAAAATATTTGTTTATAAATTGAACATAAACGATACATTCCGTGAGTCACGTGGATTGTTGATTTTACGAATAGACTAGACTGTGGAAATGAAAGAAAGTGCGGCAGAATCCAAAATTAGTTTGACCTGTACACCTTCCATTAACATGTGAATGGGCATAATGTCACTTTAATGTCAAATATAATTTTACAAAAGGATTATACTATTTCCTAAGTCTAAAGAAAAGTAATGTAACGTAATTATTTAAAATTCATCCTTTGTTTCAATTATTATTTTTGCAATAAAGTTGAACAGCTCCTTTTTGAAGAAGTGCATGCGTTTAATGCATGATATAAATGTTCCAAGGAAATAATGAATTAATTATACTGTTTCTATCTTTAGCATGTGCAAGGTTTTTTAAAAAATGCTACTCCATATTCTCTGAAAAAGTTTCATGGTATAATGCCAGCAATAAATGTCTTGAGAGCAATGAACATCTTGTAACTATAACATCCAGAAAAGAAATGGCTTACATCCAGTTCTTACTTCGAAGTCAGTTATATAAACAACGTGCGATGCTGAAGCATGGAGTAAATGAACAGATTAAACCTGGAGCATTTATTGGTAAATCTTTATTAAAAAATGTAATGTTTTTTTTTTAATCATTTTATCATTATTTTAATTTTGATTTAAAGTAACATGCTTGAAATTTCACAACGAGGGGTGATTAAGAGTTAATAACATTTAACATGTTTACTTGTTTTTACACTTTGCAATCAATAATTAACTATATTCTCAACATTCTGCTCTTCATTTGGCAGTACACTGAATAAATTCAATGTCTAAAACCTCGAAGAAGGATTTGTTTAATAACCCTGAAATAGTAATGCATGTACTAAAACGACACTAAAAGACTCCCAAGCCGACTATATCACGAGAGAGATAGTGTTTTCAAAAGGCTTAGGATTTCAATTTATTTTTGGTGTTTGTCTGTGCGGCTAATCTTCAAACATGTCCTTTCATCTCAAATTTTCATCACG